TGCAGTTGGCAGAATTTAACTGGAAGAGACTCTCTCTCCTCATCGCAACGTAGTAGATTTGTTCAGACTCCAAAACACTTACCCACACTATCGCACAGTAAAAGGGCAGAGGAGCTCAATAGCATGGTAATTTCCAATACAGCGCTAACTTATCTTCATTCTAAATATTTATATTACTGCAAAAGCTAGAAGTTAAAAAGCATAGAAGCTGCGATTTCACAGCCTACAGTACCAGTATTGTGTTATCTGGGTTAGAATTTTTTTGATTGCCCCGTTGATGAGCCAATACACCCATTAAAAAAACAAATATTTAACATATATATTCCGGTTCCCCGGAGACAAGCATCATTCGTGGTGATCCATGCTTTCCAACGTCTGCCTAGAGCAGACGACGCACACACAGAAGCGATTATATAAATTTAGGCCGCACGCCTGGAACACGATTCGATTTTCACTCAAGCACCGAAGAGTACCGCATCCTTTTCCGCAAGAATTGTTTTCTTAACGATAGTATGCGACAAAATAAACGCAAGAATCTACGCCGTCTCGCGCGCGAACGTGGAGGGCCTATGGGGCGGCGGTTCTCCTATCCCCGCTTTGATGATGATGATAGCGCGACCGTAGCGCCACCTCTAGGTCGATCTCGAGTAGTAAGTAGTAGTAAGCGTTTTATTGGAAAGGAAAACCTGAACAGTTGGCCACTCCTAAAAATGGGGGCGAGTCAGTTCAGGGTTGAGGAATGGGTTAGAGGAGAGACAGATTAAAAGAAAAGAGAGAGAGAGAGAGATAAAAACAAAGGGAAGGGGTGGATGACTGTCACTTGTTGGCACTCTGCACTTAAGGTCGGATACTTGTGGTTTATAGGCGATCGAATAATTCTGTGTCTTCTAAAAATGTGAGGAGACGTGCGAATGTTTTAGAAGCGGTCCCGGCCGGACCCGGAGGAAAAAGAATTTCCTCTGTAGTGGCATGTGCGACGCCGGCGCACTGCAGGCCGTCGATGAGGGATCTTCTCTATTTCGTTAACGCCGCGCAGTCCCAGAGGAGGTGGTCGAAGTCCTCAGGAACATTGCAGGTTGGGCAGAGGGGGTCGACGGCAGAGTTTATGCGGTGGAGGGCTTTCGCCGTGAAGGCACATCCGGTGCGTAGCCTATGCAGCAAGGAGGCGCTGGATCGTTGTAGCTTCGATGGGACACGTACAGAAGGTTTTCCGCAAGAAACCCGTGGGTCCGGGTGATGAACGATTATATCTTGATGTATAAGTAGTTTAGCTTCGTGTATTTTAGGTATCGTTACCACTGGGACATCAAGGTGATGAGCCGCTGCAGCGAGTTGGTCAGCGGCCTCATTGCCCGAGATGCCAGTGTGCGAAGGCAACCACTGAAAGGTTAATTGCCAGCCATTTGCTTGTAAGCTTCTCGCTACGTGCGCGACAAATCGAGCGTATTGCGGTGCGTCTTCAAGACGATCTAGCTGTTGCAGCGCCATCCTAGAGTCTGTGAGGATTAACGCTTTGCCACATTGAGGGAGGTTGTTAAGTGAGTCAAGGGCAAGCCAAAGTGCCACAAGTTCGGCAGTTGTCGACGTAGTATAAAAACTTAGCTTCCTGGACTCGGTCATGTTGAGCGCTGGGATACACATGGCAGCAGTAGACGACTTACGGCTATGAAGCACAGAGCCATCGGTGTATACCCGCAGCCAACCAGCGAAGGACGTTTCCATGTGGTCTTCAACAAGGCTCCGGACTACAGGTTGGGCTGTGTTCCGTTTACTTTTGAGAGCGGGAACAGACTCATTGATGTTTAGTGGTGGAGCGTATGGTGGTGGAGTCATGTAGATGATGTCTGGGTCACCAACGAGTGCTCTGAATTGCGCTGCCAGTTGTCCGAGGTGCGAGAGTGGACGCTGATGAAAACGCTTTAGGAGTGGACCTGTTGATTGACAAGATGACTGTCTTGCTATGTGCCGAAGTGTCAGCTCCCTGCCGTGATTTTCAACGAGATTGACCCTGGCTTCCACTAACGTTGGGGTATTTGGGGAGTATCTTGGTAGGCCCAAGCATAAACGAATTGCGACTCGAGGCCAATATATAATATGCGGGTCGCTCAAGAAGTCAAGTACGAGTGTCGGATTATCTTTGCCTCTGTTCCTTGTTTGTGTTTCTATATGCTTGTATGTTGCTATTTTGTGGTGCGGTAGCTGTTTTCTTTTGGGCAATACCATTTACTCATTATTAAATGCGGCGCTGCAGGCCTTTATGGTATGGGCGATTTGACCTTCTGCGGCGCCGCGTCTCTCCTGGGTTGAAATAAATGTGTCACTATATCAATATCAATGTGTTGTAGATGTGTGGACACTGCCATCCACTCGAGTGTAGTGTTTCCAAAAGTACAAATTGAATCTCCCTTTCATTACCTAGTTTCCAGCATGTTCACTACGCGATGCTAAAAGTCGCCCAAATTTATTTTAGCTTTTTCAATGTGTCCAGTAGTCGTGTAGGGAACTATAGGCACTTTAACTATCTAGTAGGGAAGTAACTGTGTATTAAAATGGCAGCCACTCAGGGTTTTATTGCTGGATCTTAGAGGGGCCGTTTCCTGCGCGGAAAACCACGAAGTTTGCGCACAGACGAGTTATGAGTGGATACCCGGACGCGATAAAAACCTCACGACGTCGCATCCAACGCTGCTCGCGTGAGAGAGGTAGGCAGGACATCGGAAACGCCGGTCGGAACGGTGAAGGAGCTATTCGTCGTCGCTCATGGTAAAAGAGGCTGTTTTCGATGAAGTTTTCACGCCTATGGTCGCGAAAAGATTGCTTTTTTGAAACTTACTCGGTCTCGGTAAAAATGCAGCTTGCATGAGGCCCCGGAGGTCGGCTGAACCGCTAGGCGGACGGGACTGGTCGATGGGGAAAGACGGGACTGGAAGCAGTCGCTCCCACTATCGCAGAATCGCCGTAATGGATACGATGCCGGCGCTTTGGGGCGGATGCCTCCGGTTGTTTAGCGCGTACGGAAGATTTACGTATAAAAACGGGCAAACTACTCTTTCACGCCAGATGTGCGCATAAATTTAAAATAGCGGCCGCTATTTTAAATTTATGCGGCCATCGCAAAAAAACACCCACCCCTATACGTGCGATTGCGGAACAAAGTACACGTTTAGAGAGGTTCATATTACACGAGACCTCGCGTGTCACCAAGATACAGCGAGCCTTGCGTTGAAAAGGAACACCATTTGGGGTGGTCGCCCTTGAGCAACAGTTCACACGTCTAGAGGCGTAGATTTACAGTGCAACTGTAAAACATGCAGTGCCGAAATACGGTTTCAGACCTCACAAGAAACGAGTTCTGGCTTCCATGAAGCCAACCTAAGGGCGGTCTACGCCTTCAGGAGCGCTGGTAAAGGACCGGCTGCGCGAAATTTACTTTGTGCCATGCTTCATCCTCCTCAACCGCGAACAAAGTTTTCGATGTACGATAAAGAGCTCCTAAGTAACACTGAGTCTGCTGCGAAGGACTCGATGAGACTGGCTGTTGAAGAGCCGAATGAATTAGATATGACCGGTTGTCATGTAAGAAAAAAACTAGAATGGCGTACGAAATTGTTTAACGCGGCGTACCCGAGCCTGCAATAACAGGAAATGTCGGAAATCCTGCTACATTGGCAGTGGGGGACTATGCGAGAACAGGTACCTCCGCTTGCTTTATCACATTTTGGGCAGTCCAGAAAATGTTACACCATCTCAAACTACAACTACTGTGATGTAACAGTACCTCGTACATCAGTTTTTTTTCTCTGCCGGTATTCATACTTTTTTTCTATACTAAATTATATTTATTGACGGTTTGCTGCTATTTGTGGTAGCAACATCACAAAGCTAAACGCTTCTAGAGAAGAGCGCTTGGTCCTCTCTATTTTCCTCGTTCGTCCTCGTTTCTTTTCGCATTGTTTCCACCATAAAACGCCACCAATCTCATGATAATGCAATTAATGCAAAGGCGCAAGCGAGCTGAACAAGAATTACGTCATTCTTGTCCAGCTCGCTTGCGCCTTTGCATTAATTGCATTATCATCGCAAACTTAAAATTCAGGACATTCACCTCTGTTAGTGTAGGACTGGTGGCAGCTGATAAAAGCCGTTTGCTCTACAGACAACTTCCTCCTGGTTTGCTCAGCTGGTAGAGCGCTCCACTGGAAATGGACAGCTCCCTTGTTTGATACCAGGACCAGACGGAATTTTTGGTCGCGCACTAGTCACCTAACTGTGCTTGGAAGTCGGTGTTTGTCCTTTGTTCACTTTGTTCCCCTTCTCCATGGCATATTTTCGCCACCAATCTTCCCCAATTTACATTTTGCTAAGTTCGTAGCTGTTTACACTGCAAGAAACGAATGTCGCAAGAAAACGCTCTAATAAATTTCTAATGGTATCCATTTATAATACATATATACAGTAGATATAACACTGCAGTATGACGAGCAGAGAGCGTCATGAGTTTTCGGACATTGTGTGCACCACCTAGATATGCGTAGTTGAATGAATTTTATAACGCGAGTGCAGTTTATGACTGACAGTGAGCTCACAGACGACACAACAACGACCACGACGAAGCAAACGCGCGCGTGCTTCTGAGTGGTTTGGGAGATGCACTTCCGCGCATGCGCGCTAAATTGCGCCTCACGTCACCGCGCCCGTCGCGTACCCTGCAAGGGCGAGGGAAAGTGGACGTAACGACCGAGCGAACGGAGCGACTACGCACGGTGGGGGCCGCGCCGCAGCCTCACGAAACAAGTTTAGTCCAAGCCATGACCCTCCAAACGAAGGGCGGCGGCTTCGAACACCAGAGCAACAAATGCTGATGCCTTACAAAAACGCATGCCACGAGGTCTTTCAACCTGACACCACACTTCCTTGAATCTTTATTACTCAATGACCCGTGACTGCTATGACCTCCACGCCAGTCCTGTCGACGAGAGTCCCGATGATGTTGTCGTCGCTCACATAAACACGCAGTGCGCCAGCAGCGGAACCATCAACACCGACACCAACACGACCACCGCCAACATAACGGTGTAGTCCAACTTGTCCACCTCCCTGGACGGTCTACTCTGGTCGCCGAAGTCCATCCTTGTTTGGAGCGGTTTCAGCACTCTCTCCCTCGTCCTCAGGATCGCATCCGCAGCGCCGGGCCACGGGTGGGGTCCCTTGCGGTAGAAACAACAGCGTAAAAAAATCTGATACAGTACTGCAGAGGCAGGCGAGCGAGTCAGTGTAAAAATTGTACAAAAGATTGCAATAGGCCTTTTCGGAACATCCCACATTTCACTGTGTGGCGCGGGGAATTGTTGGTCTATCCAGATACACTCGTGCCGGCTCGTATGCTCCGTGCGTCCTGGAATCGGCTCAGTTCCTTCGTACTTATTACTGCGAGTTCAGAACACAAAGAAAAGAGAGAAAACTCATCAACAACCCAATAGTATCACATTTTGTAATCGTCTGCTTTCTTTGCGTTCTGAAATCACGAAATTTTAAATGTAGTGGTTTTAGCACGTGAACTTAAATCGGCGCCAAAAGTCGGCATCGCCGTGCTGCACGTTTAAAGTGCCGGCGTGAGACCTCACGGTGGGCTCGTGATTAAAAGAGATCGTGCTTGGACTCGGACGGGGCTGGTCATGTCTTTTTTTGATCCTGGGCCAGCGTTTTCGCGCCCATTGAAAATATTACAATGGCGACGAAGATGGGAAGCGAGGAGGCGACGAGGTAAAGGTTTCTTTCCTTCCTAGATCTTTCGTCGTCTCTTCCTAGCATGATCTCCGCACCCGATCGCTGCGCATACCGTCTGGTTCATGTCCATGTCGGTTGCAATCTTATATTTTCCATAACGGTAGGCTTCGACCATCAGCGTGCTTTGACTATTTCCGTGGTTCTTTTTGACATTTCACCACCATGATCAATATATCGCTTTTGGAACGGCAGTTCTGCCGCCGCCATTCGTCTTTCTTCCTGTTCCCGACACGGCCACCCTTGCGTGGCCGGCATGGAAGCGTGCCTTTGCCAGTTTTCTTGGCGCTTCGGGGTTCGAACAGATGGAACCGCGTCGTAAAAAAACAATTAACTCCTGTTTTCGTTGCTTGGCACGGAAGGCCAGCGTGTGGTTGGTGCATACCGCTTGGACGATGCACCGGCGACTGAGCTCAATGACGAGTATGAAATATTTTCGGAGAAGTTAGAAAAACACTTTGAGTTCTCGGGGTCCGTAATTCGGGAAATAAAGAAACTCCGCGCTAGAGTTCAACGTCCCGGCGAATCAATCTCCGCATACCTCGCCGCATTACGTTATCAAGGCTCTTTCTGTAGCTACGGCACTATGTTAGACGAGCGCCTGTGTGAAATCTTTTTGGAGGGGTTGGATTCGAAAAGAGTTCAGGACCGCATTTTACGTGAATGCGTCGGGGCAGAGGTATCCACACTGGACAGAGCGTTCCAGCTCGCGATACAATTTGAACAACTCGCGAAAACGACTGAATCGTTTCATCGCTCTACGAGCGCGGTGTCGGCTTTCCCAGTTAACGACGGAAGCCGTGGTTTGGAACCGGCCGCGGTCCAAGATATACATGCGCATGCTCAGTGGCCTGCGAATCAAGATTGCGGAATTTCCGCGTTCCCCGCCCAACTGCATCACCAATATGGTCACGCTCCGTGCTCTTCCACCGGGATGGCCCCATCGCAGCGAGGTCCAGTGATGCCGTGGGGTCAGCCATCGTCTGACGGCCGTCTTCCCTGTTTCCAAGGGCTGGCAAGGCGGCCAGCAGTCCACGAGCCTCCTCCTCAGCGGGTGAGGGAGAGACAAGATGGAGGCTCTCTCTCTGCATGCTGGTTTTGTGGCCGCCGCGACCATGCCCGCGAGTTCTGCCCGGCACGGAACGCGACGTGCTTTTTGTGTGGGAAGCAGGGACATTTTGCTTTGGTTTGCCGCAGTCATCGAGCACAGTCAGAAGCATTCATTAACGATGAACGGCAAACATCATTTCCAGTGCGGGGTCGACGACAACCCTGGTGCCGTGGGTAACCTGCCGGAAGCTACCAGCGCGGCCGTTTTTATCAACGATACGGATCGACTTATGTGGGAACTGTCCATCAGGAAGTCCTGCCGAGTGTGACGTTTGACCAAACGAGATCTTGGTGCAGTTTACGGATCACCTTGCTCGCGACCCGGGACTTCGCAACGTGTTTTTGGCAGATGTCCAGGTAAATGGCACTCCTCTCAAGCTTCTTATTGATACCGGATCTTACGTCCCGATTTTGAACGAACAAACATTTAATTATGTAACAAAAAAAGTAAGATTAAGCTTCGTCGTCCACCAAGAGCGGTAGTGCATTATCTGCAACAGCCCATCCCCGTTCTGGGATGTTTCTTTGGAAAGGTGGTTTTCAAGAACCGATACGCGCCGCTGGAGTTTTATGTGACGCGTACGGGACGATCATTGCTTGGAACCGACAAAGTGCGCGAGTTGAGCATGACCTTATGTGGAGCTAAGAACGATTGTTCCTATGTGGATGCAGCTGGAAGTGGAGCAGAGCCACCTTGGAATGTAGGGCCGGCTGGCGCTCCGCAGCGAAGACCCTTCACGTTGCCGTCTCGCCAGCCATCACAACCATCAAGTCATCAACCTTCAGTTACATCTAGCAACCTTTAGTACCGTCGGGTGCCTACGCATCCAGGCCACTTCAACCTTCTGATTGGGAACAACAGTTCTGAAAGACTTGGAGGAGTTTGACCATATACCGTCAACCAACTCCAGTCCAGATCGCCGTTCTGTAAGTCAGCGTGGAGCCAGCAATCCAGAGTTTCAACCTGAATATCAATGTGATTGCAGTGTTCCGCAACGTCATACTGATCCTCCTGATCCTGGACGTATAAAGGTATCCCGAGAACCTATTCCTGAGCAAAGCAACCTTCCTTCGAAGTGTCGGGAGCCAAGTCCACCTCCGCGGGACACATCCAAGTTACCCCCGGGATTTGAAGACTTTGAACACCTGTTCGGTCCCGAGTTGGGTCTGGTGCGGAATGAGACGCACAAGGTCAAGGTGCGACATAATGTCCCACCAGTGCAGTCAAGGCTAAGACGTCTTCCTTTAACTTTTCGTGACGCCGTCTCCGAGGAGATTTTCAAACTGGAACAGCAAGGAGTCATTAAACGTGTCAACGCTTTGGAATGGGTTTCTCCCATCGTCGTTGTCAAGAAACAAGACGGAAATATCCGGATGTGTGTGAATCTGCGAGCGCCAAATCAAGCCATCGTCATCGACGCTTTCCCACTCCTGCACATCGATGAACTTTTGAATTCCCTCCGAGGAGCTGCCGTCTTCTCCATGCTAAACCTTTCGTCTGCGTACCATCAAGTCCGTCTCGACCCCGCGAATCGAAATCTAACAGCTTTCATCACGATGAACGTATTTTTTTGTTTTAAGCGCGTATGTTTCGGACTGGCATCTGCATCTGCAGCGTTCTTAAAGATCATGTCGAAAATTTTGGAAGGATGTCAAGGCGTCCAATTTTATCTCGATGATCTCATCGTCTACAGATCTTCGCAGGTGGAACATGATGTATACCTCCGTCAAGTCTTGTCTTACATCTCCCGCGCAGGAGTGAAGTTAAATCGAAAGATTATTTTCAATGTCCGTGAACTCTCATATTTTGGGCACCGTCCCTCCATAGAAGGGTTAGCACCCCTTACGTCAAAGGTAGATGCTGTTCCGAATTTTGAGACTTCCTCAGACCCTGCAAGGCTGAAAGCATTCTTGGGACTTGTCGAATACTATAGCAATTTTGTCCCGCATTGTTCCACTGTGGTCGAGCCTCTTCGTCGTTTACTCCGAAATAATGTTCGTTTTGTCTAGTCCCCCGAAGCGGACGCGAGTTTCCAAAATATCAAGAATTGTATTCTGCTTGCTCCCATTCTAGCCATGCTTCATCCGTCTCTACCCATAATCGTGGCTACAGACGCTTCTCATTACGGCCTGGGTGCCGCCCTTCAACAGCAGCATGGGAACTACCTTGTCCTGGTCGCTTTTGCCTCCCGATCACTCACAGACGCTTAGCGGCGGTACTCATCTGGGGAGAAGGAAGCTCTCGCTTGCCTTTGGGCATGTGAGAAGTGGCACGTCTACTTATGGGGTCGTCCATTTGTTATTCGAGACCGACCATCAAGCACATTTGACGCTGTTATCTAACAAAAGGCCTGGTGTTCGCCCGTTGCGCATCACACGTTGGGCGGCGAGACTGATGAATTATAACTTTCGCTAGGAATGTCAGAAAGGATCTACAAACTTAGTCGCGGATGCGTTTTCACGACTACCTCGCCAAGACACTGAGGGTGGTATCCTGTTTGAAGAAGATGCTGTTGCTATCATTGCAACACCCTTGTCACGTCAGGGATTTCAAGAGGCTACCGCCAATGACACCGTTCTGCCTAGCGTCATTCGCTACAGGACTGAGTCGTGGCCAAAAGACAATACTGTGCACCCTTATCTTCGGCCGTACTTCCACATACGAGATCAGCCGTCCCTCTATGACGGACTCCTTTTTCAAGGGGAGAAGATTGTTGTCCCTGAAAATCTGCAAGACAGTATCATTCAACTGGCTGACGAAACTCGCCAAGGGATTTCTAGAACAACTAGCATCATCAGAGTGTAGTACACTTGGCCGCGAATAAACCAGCAGATAAAGTTCAAGATTGAACAGCTCAGTCTGTCATTCCACCGATAAGCCGGTCAAAGCAGCACCAGCACCTCTTAATCGATCACGTTTCCTGAGAAACCCTGGACGAAGCTCTGAATTGACATCGTGGGCCCAACAGAGCGGGCGCCAGCAAGTCAGCGGTTTTTCATTGTCTTCATGGACTACCACTTCAAGTGGCCGGAAGTTCAAGCAGCAGCTTCCGTGACTTCATCTACAGTTATAAACTTTTTGAAAAGCATCTTCGCACGTGAGGGAATACCCTGCGGAACCGTCTCGGACAATGGTGTCCAGTTTGTGTCGAAAGAACTCCAGGAATTTCTTCTTCGACGTGGGATAAAACATCTCAAGGCATCCCTGTACCACCACCAATGCAATGGGCAGGTGGAGAGGCTTAATAGAGTCCTCAAGTCTTGTCTAGAGTTGGCCATTGTCCAAGGCCGTCCTTTACCAGATGTACGAAGG